TGATTTCAAATCCTACTACACTGCCTTAGTGGTAAAGACAGCATGGTACTGGTACAATGACAGACACATAGATCAATGGAATAGAATTGAGAATCCAGAGATCAACCCATCTATCTATGGTCAACTGATTTCTCTGGTACTCTTTGCTTTCAACCAAGATCCATCTAATGTTAGCTATAATATCCCTAGTACCACAGCCCCTTCTAAATCTAGCCTGCACACAGTTCTCTGTTGATGTGCTGTACAGTCGTTTTTGGATAATTTTCAGCAGAATCTTGCTTGAATGTGATATTAAATATATTGTTCAGCAATTTCCACACTCTGCTGGGTCACCTTTTTTCAGAATAGGAAGAAATATAGATCTCTTCCAGTCAGTTGGCCAGGTAGTTGTCCTCCAGATTTCTTGGCACAACTTTGTGAGCAGGTCGAGGATAGTGTCTGTTTGTTGAAATATGTCAATTGATATTCCATCAATTTCTGGTGCCTTGTTTTGGGGTTTTGGGGATTTTTTTTTGCCAATTCCTTCAGAGCAGCTTGAACATTTTCCTTCATCACCACAGGCTCTTGCTCATATGTTGTTTCATGAAATTCTTCTGCATCTGCCCATTCCTTTTGGTATAGTGACCATGTCTATTCCTTCCATCTTCTTTTAATGTTTCTTGGACCAAGTACTTGAACTTGAGGCTTGAATTTGTTCTTCAGCTCCTTCACCTTAAGAAATGCTTGAGCAAGTCTGGCCATGTTGATTTTCTGACTCCATATTTCATTATGTTTTACTTTGTCTTTCCATGCTGCCTTTTTAAATCTTCTGTTCAGCTCCTTAATTTCTTGATTTCTCTCCTTTGCTTTGGTTTCTCGGTTCTCTAGTGCAATATTCAGTTTTTTCTGACATTCATCTTTGTCTTTTCTTCCTCCTCTCTCTTTGTACTGACCTTCTGCATTCTTCCTGGATGATCTTCTTGGTATCCTCCCATAGCTCATCTGGTCTTCACTCATTAGTGTTCAAGGCCTCAAACACAAAGTAAATATAAATTGGAAATTATATACAACACTTAACAATATTTTGGAAAGCATTTTGAGCATTATGAACAAATCTGAGCTTTATTAAAGTGTTTCTGGTGTGATTATACAACTTTACCATGAATATAAAATAGCTAGGCATTTTTTCAAAGCATTTTATTTAAATAAAGGTGTGAAAACAAGCAGACAAGAATAAAAGAATCTGGATTGATAATTAAAAATCTCTAGATGGAATCTCTAGAAAAACAAAGAGGATTTAGTATTAATGAAAGGAAAACAGGTAGTGCTGAAAATTAATACAGAAAAGTAAGCATTGTGAAATTGAAAATTTGTGAAAATTGTATATATTTTAAATGATGAGATTGAGAAATTTCCCACAGAGTAACAGGCAGAAAAACAAAATAAAACAGTCAAGATGGAAAATAAAGAAAGAAACAAAGAAAAACAGTATTTCAGGAATTCGAATCTTTAAATATTAGACCATATTTTACAGCAATATCTTGAAAGAAATATATTTCAGGAATGATATTTCTTCTTTCCAAATATTAACAGGTATTCCCCTGGCTACTAAAACATTTGAGTATAAAATTTTATTTCTCCTTAAAAAAAAGTAAAAAAAATATTTTAAATGTTGAGATAGATACATTATAAATTATTATAATGTCTCTGAAATACAACTATTTCCAAGTTTTACTAAAAAAAATATCATGAAAGTAGCAACTTTTTAAACATAAAATTCCTAAATAGTTAAGACTAAACATTTAATACAATTTTCATAACATACTAAAAGTTTAAAGTTAGTTAAAGCAGAGTTAAAATGAAATTTATTATTATTGCTTTTTTATTAAAACTGTATTTCTAATTATTCTGGAAACCTTTCATTGGTAATGTAAGTATATAAGTCAATGAAATACAATAGACTTACCAAATTTTTTTCAACTACAATATGCATTTCTATATATTGTGAAAATTCTTCTACTGGCTGGAAATAAAATAAAGCAGAATACAAATTCATGTCAAAATGAAATAATTCCTTGAATTAATAAATTAATATTACTGTTGCTAATGACTAAATTTGGGGAAATATTCTTTCCAAATAGGTATTATAAGCAAACTCTTTGTTTATGTTGTAATGAACTGTCAAGTCAAAATTGACACACAGCTGACCCTCCAGAAGGTTTTCAGAGGCAGTAAATAAGTGCAGGTTACTGCCTCTGAAAATTCATTGGAGGGTCAGCTGTCAGTTGGTTCTGACCTAAAGGTACATAACATCAAATTGCACATTAGGAAATTGCCCATCTTTCTCCTGTGGAACAGCTGGTATATTCTAATAACGTGTCTTTGGGTTGGTCCTCCAACTCCTTACCACTTAGCCAACAAAAGCCCCTTATAAGCAAACTAGGATACACAGAATTCTCTCAATAATAATTTCCTTTTTCCTTCTCTCATATCTATTATACATAATCAAACAATTTACTCTAAAAGTATTTTTCTACCTTCTGTTCTCTGAATTCCACTGCCTTTGAGCCAGTTTTGATGTATGGTTCCCTTCCACTGAGTTTTCAAGGCTGTAAATGTTTATTTGAGGAGGTTGACTTAAGTGTTTATTTCCCGTGAAATAGCTGGTGGATCCAATTTACCAACTTTTCTGTTAGTGGTATGCCACTAAAGGATAGTATTAATAAAACTCAGGACCAGCATTTGGGGATCTTTGCCTCTGAGGCTGTGGGCCATCTCAGGGGTCAAACTGAACAAGAGAATTTGGGACACAAAGATACAAGCAGGGGAAAGATGTTCTCAGCTTTTTCAGATGGCACCTTGATCTGTGAGAAAAACAGCTCATCTTCTCTGGCACCACTCAGCCACACCAGAGATGAAGAAGAACAATAGAGTTTGGGAGAAGGGACTACATTAATATGAGATTCCTGCAGGGCTACCTTGCAGACCACAGAGAACATGAAGGACTTAAGAAAAGACACGTTTTCCCAGAAAGGACTTTCTATAGAGTGAGTGATTGGCTCAGCCCATAGATTAAACCTTTTAAGCAGGCAAGTAACCAATAACATCATAAAGTTAAGAACTACCAACAACTTACACAGATACAATAGATACGGAGTAACACTGACCAAAAAAATCTCATAATGTCAAGAAAGTAACAGGCAGCTTCAAACACTGGGGGCGAGGGGGAAGCCCTAAGCATTTTACAAAAAATGCAGAGAATATTGCAGACCCAATGAATACCACTGAGTCAAGAAGACAGAACATATATGTTGATATGGAGGTATCAGAACATGTAGGAAAGAAAGTACAAAAGATGGAAAAAACAATGAAAACGACAAATACTCTAAAAGTAGAGAACCAGAAGAAATTATACTGATGAGGAATTACTTGAACAGCTACAAAAGAAGGTGAAAAGTACAGAAGAAACAACGGAAGCCATTAAGAAAGTAAATATTCCACAGATAGGGAGCCAGAGGAAACACACTGATGAAGAAGAACTTGCACACTACATAAGAAAATTAAAAATATGGAAAAAGAATTGAAACATAGATAAAGAGGTACAAGAACTTAACAAAAACCATCACAAGACAGAGAAGACACAGCCTACAGAGTACTGGAAATAACAGAAATACATGAAAATACAATCTAGAAAGTGTTCAACATGGTAGAGGAAGAAAAAAAAAAGTAAAACAAAAGAGATGGAAAAGAGAGTCCATGAGCTGGGGAACAAAAACCTCAACAGAAATATACTAGAAGGAAAAACAGAGATAAGACAAAGAAAATAAAGGAAACATTAGAATCATGTGGGATGACATTAAGAGGAACAACATAAATATGACTGGAATTCCAGAATAGGAGAGAGACAGAGAAATCACTGAGCAAATTGTGGAAGAGGTAGTAGAAAAAAACTTCCCAGGTGCTATGAAGAATGAAGAAATCCACATTCAAAAAGCTCTGTGAACACTAAACAAAGTAGGCTCCAAAAGAAAAATATAAAGACTTATCATAGTCCAATTCTCCAAAATAAAGAATAAGGATAGAATACTAAAGGCCGCACATACATACAACAAATAAAAAAATAATTAGATTAAGTTCTGACTTCTCAGCAAAAACCATGCAAGCAAGAAGACAATATATGTCATATAAAAAAAGTTGAATGAAAACAATTGCTAACTGAGGAACCTGTACTCGGCAAAGCTCCCCATAAACTATAAAAGAAAAATTACATCCATTGCAGAAAAAGAAGGAACTTAAGGAATTTGTGAAAACAAGACCAAAATTACAAGAGAAGTCCTTCACACAGAGACACCAAAGGAAAATGGATGAACCACAGTAACCAGAAACAACAAAAAAGGAAACACAGTAAAATGGCAATGATAAAACCTCCCATGTCAATAATCACACTTAATATGAATTGACTAAATGCAACAATAAAGAGAAAAAGAGAAGCAGAATAGATTAAAAAAAAACAACCCATCAATATGTTGTCTACACACATCTAACAAACAAAAAGAAAGATAGACTCAAACTTAAAAGCTGGAATGAAATATACCAAGCAAATGGCATCCACAAAAAAAAAGCAGGAATGGAAATACTAATCTCCAATAAAATGGACTTCAGGATGAAAATCACCATAAAAAAATAAGGAAAGACACTGCATAATGATTAAAGGGACAGTGGTCAACACTATGCACCTGCAAAATACATACAGCAACATCTAACAGGATTGAATAAAAAACAACACCACAGTAAGACTTTAACACCCAACTTTTAACAAAGGATAAATCAACTCAAAAGAAATAAATTTAACATAGTGGCTGAAGATCTAAACTATACATTTAGTCAACACGACCTTGTGGATGTATTCCAAGTTCTTCACTAAACAAGCCTCAACAAATTAACAAAAAACCAAAACACCAACACTGAAACAATGCAAAGTACCTTGTCAGACCACAATGACATAAAATTAGAAACTAACAAAAAGAGAACAAAGCTTATTAACCATCAATGTGGAACCTAAATAACACCCTGCTAGAACATGATTGGGTTACAGAAGAAATAAATAATGATATTAATAAGTTAACTGAAACAAATGATAATGAAAATACAAAATACCAAAACCTCTGGGATGAAGCTAAGGCACTCTTCAGGGAACAATTCATGGCAATAGGCATACGTGTAAAAATGAAGAAAGAAGCAAAATTAATGATCTAACTCTACCTCTTCATCAAATAGAAAAAGAACAACCATCTAACCCTTAATCTCTAGAAGAAAACTGTAAGAATGAGAGTTAAATCAATGACATAGAAAACAGAAAAACAATTGAAACCATCAACAAACTCAGGAGCTGGTTTTTCAAAGGGTCAATATAATTGATAACCTACTGATAAACTTGCCAAAGGGGAGAGAAAAGAGAGTGAAGACACTAATAACTCGATTAAGGAATGATGGAGGTGACATCACAACAAAATCAGAGAAAATTAAATCTATAATATTGGAATACTATGAAAAGCTATATTCTGATAAATTTGAAAAACAAGAGGAAATGGACAAATTCTTTTAACCTCATGCCCTACCCAGACTGACTTGGACAGATGTAGAACATCTGTAGAACAACTGAACAGATCCATCACAACAAAAGAAAAAACTGAGCCGGTCATAAAGACTCCCACACAAAAAAATCCTGCACAAGATGGCTTCAAGGCTGAATACCACCATACATTCAGAGATTTATCACCAATTCTACTTACATTCTTAAAAAAAAAAGGAACATTCCCAGAGTCATTCTATAAAGCAAGCATAATCTTAATACCAAAACCAGGCAAAGATATTAAAAAAAAAATCTCTCTCTCTCTCTCTCTCTCGAACAATTTCCTCAAGCACATAGATGTAAATGCGCTTAACAAAATCCTGGCCAATAGATTCCAAGAGTATATAAAAAATAATTAATCAAGACCAAGTATGATTCATAACAGGTATGCAAGGATGGTTGAACATAAAAAAAAAGATTAAAAAAACCCAAACCCCACAGTTAACATAATTTCACCACATTAACAAAACAAATAATAAGAACCAGATGGTATCAGCAATTGATGCAGACAAGGCATTGACAAAATCCAGCAACCCTTCCCAATCAAGACACTCAGCAAAACTGGAACAGAAGGGAATTTCCTCAACATAGTTAAAAGTATATATGCAAAACCAATAGCCAGTATCATTCTCCAAAGAAAAAGACTAAAAGCATTTTCCTTGTGAACAGGGACGAAACAAGGATGTCCACTGTCACCACTCTATTCAATTTTGTATTAGAAGATATTTAGAGATGTTAAACTATTGCTATATACAAATGATATGATAGTGTCTAGAGAAAACATCAAGGACTCAACAACAACAACAAAAACAAAACAAAACAAACCCAACTGCTAGTTAGTGGAGCAGTTTAATAGGGTAGCAGGATACAAGATGAATATCCAAAAATTAGTGGTATTTCTCTAGAGTAATAAAGAGAACTCAGAGAAGAAAACCAAGGGGAAAATATACCATTTACCACAACCAATCACAAATTAAGATACTTGTGAATGAACATAAGTAGAGGCACAAAAGACCTGAAAAAAGAAAACTAGAGAACATTTCTGTGAGAAACAATAAAAGACCTAAATAAATGGAAAAAGGTTCCCTATTTATGGATGGGAAGACTCAATATAGTAAAAATGTTAATAAAATAATAAAATAATCCTACTAAATCCAAACTACTTGTTCAATGCAATCCCAAAATTAATTTTTAAAGGAGATTGAAAGGGAAATTCTCAAGTTTATTTGGAGAAGAAAGAGACCCCAGATAAGTAAAGCCCTTCTGAAAATAAAAAATTAAATAGGAGGCATAGCACTCCCTAACCTCAAAACCTATTACACAGTGGTAGTAACCAAAAACAGCATGGTACTGGTACAATGACAGCCATATAGACCAATGGAACAGAACTG